GCAAAAAAATACAGATGTCTCTAGTCAAAAGCAAAAATGAAGATGAAGGATGGGCTAGGAGTTAAAACCAGGCCTGTTTAAAGAGAAACTAAGTATAGTGTAAGTACTGGTTTTTTACCAGTGTGATGATGATTTGAGAGAACTTAATTTCAGAAAAACCCAGCCTCAGTGCTAAGAAAGGAAACAGAAACCCAAACAAACAAGGCAGCGCGAGTGAATCCGTAGAGAAGAAAACCCCATCACTGCCTCCTGTGTCCCTGCTCCCATCCTACAAACGAAGGATGACCTGGGAAGACTTCACCCACCACTCTTTGTGGCAGAGGGTATCAGACCTGCAGCACCCCGAAAACAAACATCAAATCTTCATTTTAACAGCTGGTGGCTTGAATGCTTGTTAAAATATAAGTAATCAGATATTATCCACGAGACAGAGGGCATCTGTGCTCTGCTACGTGTGTGCTCGATGCAATGCCCAATTATGAAAGTCTAGCCAGTTTCTCCCCTTGGGCTGGACTCCCTGTAAAGCCCCATTTCCATGTATATTATTAGGAACCACTAAGAAACGTTGTTTAGAATCATTAGCCTTAAAAAAAAAATAAAAATGTTAAAAATGAACAACTATTCATACAAGTTTTGGAGGTGAGAAGGAAATGAGGCATAGACAGTCATGGGGGAGGGAAGGAGGGAATGTGATACTCCCGGAGAACTGTGCATAATATTTCTACATGTTTTGAAATATTATCCAGCCAAAAAATGTGTTTTGTCTTGCTAATGACTGTGTATCACCTATAGGAAAAAAAAAACCACCTGGTTATATGATGGCAAAACATCTAAGGCATAACTAAAGCTTCTGTTATCAGTTCTTCAAGGCCAGCAGACAGCAGAAGGGAAGAATCACAGAATCATAGAAGGATTCGGGTTGGAAGGGACCTTAAAGATCATCCAGGTCCAACCCCCCTGCCATGGTAAAGAAACCATTTTATAATCAAATCTAAACTGATGCAGGGACACCTCCCACCAGACCAGGTTGCTC